AATTTGATGTTTGGCTTTTAATTCATGAGTTGTTATTGGTTAATGAAAACCGATTACGAAAACTGGGTAATGAATCCCCGTGAGCCCAGATAAGACTTGGGGTATGAGAAAGGTTAGTTAACACCCACTAAGTTTCGAAAAATGTTTTTTGAAAATTTCATTATGGTTTTTTGAAAAATTCGAAATTTCTGTAAAATCAAAGTGGGGTGTTACATCTAGGAAACCTAGAATCGGACCCAAGCGAGGCACTCGAAGATAAAGATGCAGATTCATGGAATGTTGCAATGAATGCTGAAATGGGGTCAATGGAATCTAATCAGGTCTGGGATCTTGTAGAACCACCCGATGGAGTACGACCCATTGGATGTAAGTGAATCTACAAGAGAAAGAGAGGATCGGATGGAGAGGTGCAAACCTTCAAAGATAAGCTTGTTGCGAAAGTTTATACCCAGATTGAAGGTATAGACTATGATTAGACCTTTTTGCAATTAGCTATGCTTAAGTACATTCCGATTCTCTTGGCTGTAGCCGCTTATATGGACTATGAGGTATGGCAGATGGATGTCAAGACGACTTTCCTTAACGGAAACCTTCAGGAGGACATCTATATGCAGCAACCAGAGGGATTCATTGCAAAAGGACGTGGGCTTCTAGTGTGTAAGCTTAATCGGTCCATTTATGGATTTAAGCAAGATTCAAGATCTTGGAATATTCGGTTCGATGAGGTGATCCAGTCGTACGGGTTCACTCAATGTCCGGATGAGCATTTCATGTACAAAAAAATCAGTGGGAGCGTGGTGGAGTTTCTTGTGCTGTACGTGGATGACATACTTCATATTGGAAACAGTAAGAATGAGTTGTTAGAATTCAGATAGTAGGTGTTCCGCGAGTGGAAGGAAGGCCGCATTAAGACTTGCCAAGAGAAGTCATAGGAGAAGGTAATAGAGCTCCGAAAAGCATTAATGACTTACTAGTTGAGCTGAAACGAGTACGCCTACTCCGAGGAATGGGCATCTAATTAAAGAAAGCGGACATCCGCCCAAGATAAATGAGAGAGGAATACAGCTTCTTTACTACCGGCATTCTCATTATTATAGTAAAGGTGTGGTTGTCTAAGCAGTTTGATATGAAGGACTTAGGAGAAGAAGGACACATTCTTGGTATTAGGCCGTAAGAAGAGAATGTTGTGCTTATCCCAGTAATCATACATAGAAACTGTATTGGCTAGGTTCAGCATGCAGGATTCCAAGAAAGGTACCTTGCCTTTCAGGAAAAGAATCCCTCTCTCTAAGGAGATGTCTCCTAAGACGTCTCAAGAGATTGAGGACATTAAGACAGTTCCTTATGCATCGACAGTAGGAAGTCTTATAAACGCTAAGCTTTGTACCAGGCCAGATATCAGCTACGCCATTGGATTAGTAGCCCGATATCAAAGTAATCCGGGTAGGGAACATTGGTCTGCGGTGAAACATATACTCAAGTACTTGAGAAAGACTAAGGAGTACATGTTAGTTTACCGTACAGACAACTTGTTACCTCTGTGTTATAGTGATTCTGATTTCCAGTCAGATAAGGACGAAAGTAAGTCAGCCTCTGGTCATTTGTTTACCTTGGGAGGTGGAGCCATTTCATGGAGGAGTGCTAAGCAGAAATGCGTAGCAGACTCCACCATGGAAGTCGAGTGCATAGCAGCCTCAGAGGCAGAGAAAGAGGCAGTTTGGCTCAGAAACTTCTTAGTTGACTTAGAGGTGATTCCGAGTTTGCCACGTGGTATCACCGTGTACTGTGATAATAGTGGAGCATAGAAAACTCAAGGAAACCACGAGCCCACAGAGCAAGTAAACACATAGAGCGCAAGTACCATCTGATCCGAGAGATAGTTAGTAGAGGAGACGTTGATGTTGCCAAGATTGCATCTGAGGACAACCTAGCTGATCCCTTCACGAAGAGTTTGCCGGAGAAGGTCTTCGTCAAACACGTGATAGGAATGGGAGTCAAGTGCATGGCGATAGGATCGACATAGGTCTTTTAGAAAAACGGATTGATAGGATTATACTTGTAAAAGCGAAAGCTTTAAGTATAAGTGGGAGATTGTTAGTGTAATATACTGAAAGCTTGGCTTTGGATGATATTGCACGTTTACCCTTTATGAATGAGAAACATGTTAGATTAATCAAGTTCTATGTTCTGTTGTTTTGCATTAGATAGTGGGTCGTCATCGGGCGAACTGAAGATCATACTATCAGTTACTCGCGAAACAAGAATAAGTGGTTCACAACCCAGATGGACATGAACACCCCATCGTGAACGGTTGTAGTGTCAACTGTACAGTTTGTCTT